AGAGCATGGGCTGTGGAGACAGGAGTAGAGCATGGGCTGTGGAGACAAGAATGAACAGCCACTGCATAGCTCGGGCACTGTAAGTTATGATCAAACTCTTGACTTGGTCACCATGAAAATCATTAGTGACCTTGACCAGCGTCAAAGAAGGTTGGAGAGACAGACGTGAGTGGAATGTTTTAAAGCAACGTAGGAGGCTAATAGCTAGGCAAATATGGAATGATACTTGGAAGAGCTTTGATTTAAAATAGGGCAGAGAAATGCATTGGCAGCTAAGATGGAAAGATGGGAGGCAGCGGAGAGAATTCCATTAATGGAAATCACTTTGCAGAGGACAAACTGTCAATGAAGGAGACAGAGGAGATAATTTAATGGTGACTATGGGAACAAGTCCTTGAGTCAATGAAAGAAGAGATAAAACAACTCATGTCCTGTTTCTTCTTCAGTGGGAAGGTGGGAAAAGCATGTGGGTCTCACACAGGCAGGGCCGTCAATTTGGTGGTGGGTATCTGAAGAGAGAGCAGCTGCCCTCCATCCCTGGGCCTAAAGAGGATGAGGGGAGGGAGCAAGGAAAGGCAGTCAGCTGCCATCTTACTTCCTGCCTGGAAAGCAAAGCCTGCACCGAGGTTCTCAGAAGTCTCTGACTTCTAAAAACTTCCTAAAGGGCTTTAGGGTACACGATTCACAGGAGGGCAAACTACCCTTGTCTTTGGTGACTCTGCCGCACACCTCCCTGTCTCCTTATTCTCGCTTGCACCTGCTGGGTTCTGCTCGTTGTTAACATGTGGATTGAGGCCACCAAACGTTTCTTTATTGTTTGCTCTGTTGGATACCTATACAAGTTGACGGCTATGAGAAACTGAATCCATCAACAGACTTCTAGCCCTGAGCAGAATACACGCTTGTCTAGACATAGAGAAAGCAACCAATAGGTGGTAAGTCCTGAGGATAAGAGCAGCAAGAGCCCTGCTGTGAGGACCTCAACCTTTAGTGGCTCCTCTGCAGCCACCAGAGCTGAGCTAGCCCTACTTTTAAAGCCCCTTTCAATTTCCTTCTCCCCAGTGAGAAGACACCTTTTCGGGCCCCAGGTGTGTGTGTGTGTGTGTGTGTGTGTGTGTGTGTGTGTGTGTGCATGTTTGTATATGTACAGATGAGCATGCACATGTGGTCTGTATAGATGTCAGAGGTCAATTTTGAGTGTCTTCCTGTATTGCTCGTCACCTGTTCTCTGTTTCTTTAATTACTATTGCTACATATTTGAATACATAAGACATACCACTTAGTGTTGTTGGTATGTATAGTCTCAGGGCTGACCAGTTGGTACTGGATAACCAATCAGGGGGCTGATCCCTGGGGAATGATTCTTCCTCTCTTGGTGGACATTAATTGGCTACAGCTCTTCACCTAGTCAGCCTTACTGTTTGAGGCAAGGTCTCACACTGAACCCGGAGTTCACTGACTCAGCTAATCTCCTGGCCAGCAAACGCCAAGGATCCCCTGTCTTCACCCCCCAGCTCCAGAATTACACATGTGCACCACTGTGGTGACTTTTTACTTGAATACTAGGGTTCCAAACTGGGGATCTCATGCTGGAAACAGCAAGCAACTCTTATCGGCTGAGCCAGCTTCCCAGCCTGTGGTCCTGTCTTTCTGAAGGGTGTATAGCAATGTATTTTCCCGACAACCCAGTGCCATGCACTTTCCTCTGAAAGGGACTTTTGTACAAGCAGTGTGATTCCAAGACAGAACTCTGGTGAGAACAGAAATCCAGGGCCTTATTCTCCTGGATGCTGGGCTTGGAAGCAGGCAGGACTGGGAACTGGGGACAGGTTAGAGATGACGGTGGAGCCAGGCTCACAACTTCATCAAATTCCTCCTGTGTAGCAACTCAGGGCTCTGTTGAGCATGCACGTCTTATCTGAAATGCTTGCATCCAGCAAAGAGCTGGAGCTGCTCTGCCCTGGGGAGGCTCTGGACAAAGCAAACATGCTGCCTGGCACACTCACTGCTGGGAACAAGAGAGAGGACTGGAGGGCAAGCTGCCAACCGGAGCAAGTGAAACATAAGGCTGGAGGTTTGCAGAATTCCAAAACACAGAAGTACCTAAAAAGGGCCTGTTTTGTGTTTTACTCAAAAGTCAAGCAAATGTTTGCTGTATTCCTGGTGGCTGTGATTTTAAAACTCTGGGTGGAAAGGTCCACACACGGAGGCCCAGGTACGTGCCCACCTGAATTCTGAGACACAGAATGAGGAAGCTCGCCTGAGGGTGTTAGTGAAGGCTCTGTCTCCTCCTTTTCACTCTCTTTCCTCTCTTTCCCTTCCCTTTCTCCACCAAAGAGGTTCCTCAGAAGAAACTCACAGGCTTGAATCATTCAGAATAAAACTCATATGGGAAAAAAAAAGGCCTCCTGCTTTCAGGTGCAGCCGTTTTGAGAGGAGAGCAAGGTGCCTACATTTGGTATGCTGACTCTGCTGTCATGGATTTACTGGCATGATAGCTCAGGGCTGCAGGCCAAGGGTGAGATCATGCAGCAATGTCTATACCTTTATGAGACAGGAGCTAAAAGCAAGATTCAATCCAAATCACTTGGCTAAATAGACTGAGAGCACAGGATGCTGTCACTACTTCTCATCAGCTCCCCAGGGGACAGGCTTGAGGACAGGAAACCCTAGCCTGTGCCCAAAACATACTCAACATGGTGGAGATAAGAAAAACGTTTCAATGGATGTGAACCAAAAACCTCACTTCTATCTTATTCTGAAACCAAAGGCAAGAGTCTCACCCGGACAGATATCACAGCCCACTCTTTCTGTAATATCCAAGTGCTCTGTGGTCCCCTCACATCCTAGACCCTGACATATCGAAAAGGCCCAACTTGAAACATGAACTGGATCATGATGAGGCACTGGGGGCAGCTTGAAGGCAACCACTGCCACTACAGCTTCCCTCTTCAGTCTCCACGAGAAAAGCTGACAAACTTCTGCGATCTGGGTTTTCTTCATATTCTTTCCCCAGGGAGCCTTTGACTGTCCTGGTTTGTGTCCGTCCCCTTCACACCATCTTGTCACTGCTGCAGTAAAAAGCCTTGTGTTCCTGAGACATCTTCCTGCCGGCTGTCTCCTGGGGAGTCAGGGGTCATTAGAACCAAGGAAGTTCGTTAAGTTCAAGACATTCTATCAACGGCTGTGGAACAAGTGAACACAGGGGAGTGTGAGCCGACTGTTTGGGGTGCTTGAAGACAATGATAACCTCAAAGTATCTGAAGTTTGTCCTTTCTGAAACAGAGTAGAAACGAAATGTAAAAGTAGACCACTCATTCCTAGATCAAACCAAGAGCACGAAGAACAATCTGGGTAGCTAGTTAAGGTGCGGGACGTGTTCTTGTCTCCTTCCTGGGCAGCTAGTTAAGGTCCGGGATGTGTTCTTGTCTCCTCTCTGTTATTGTGATAAAACACTGACCCAAAGCAACATAATGGGGGGCGGTTATTTCAACTTGCAGGTTGCAGTCTGCTGTTAAGGGAACTGATATCAAGAACTCAACCAGGGTCTGGAAGCCGAATTATGGAGGAAAGGTTCTTGTTGCTTACTCATTAAATTCCCTATACAGCTCAGGCCCCCCTGCCAGGGAATGATGCCACCCACAGTGGCCTGAGCCCTCCTGCATCCATTACTAATCAAGACAATCCCTCATACACATGCCTACAAACCAAACTGATAAAGACTTTTTCCCAGAAGATTTTAGGCTGTGCCAAGTTGCTATCCTGAGCTGTGGAGGACAGGGAACGGCATGGATGGTGTTGTTCCTATCCCCTTATATTGTTATGCTGGCTAATTTTCTGTCAACTTGAAATTGGTCATCTGAGGAGGGAACCTCAATTGACAAGATGCCTTCAGAAGATCCAGCTTTGAGAAGACAAGACCATATGGCAATCTCTTAATTAGTGGGGAAGGGAGGACCCAGTCTATTGCCAGTGGAGCCATCCCTGGGCTGGCGGCCCTGGGTCGCAGGCTGAGGAAGCCGTGTAGAGCAAGCCAGTTAACAGCACTCTTCCATGGCCTTTACCTCAGCTCCTACCTCCAGGTCCTGCCATATTTGAGTTCCTGTCTTGACTTCCCGCAGTGATGAGCAGTGATAAGGAAACATGAGCCGAGTTGCTTTGGCCATGGTGTTTCATCATAACAATAGTAACCATGACTAAGGCGGGTATCTTCAAAGATTCTCAACACAGCTCCAAGTGTTGGCCGGCTTGATCTGCTCACTCCTCTGCTCCTACTGGAGACATCCGAGGACCTGTTCCACAGTCACGTGTTCTCCCTAACTTTATCACATCCCATTCCTCTCAAGGTCAGAGAAAACTCAGACAGAACCATGCCTGTATCTAGCCAAACGGTGTGCCTTTCAGGAAGCGATACAAAGCCTTAATTATCACTTCTACCCCAAGCCCTCCAAGACTGTGACACCCAACCCTGGGATATCCAGACTCTCTGAGGGACAACTGGACTCTTCCTCCCAAAGGCTTGACATGACAAGGGTTTTCCAGCTCCATCTCTGAATTGCAAATGAAATCAGGTGGCCATCTTACCGGGATTTAGAATTCTTGTCTTGGAAGAATTTGGAGCCTTACCTATGATTATCCTCTCGGGCTGTGGTCTAGCCTCAGCACCATCACTCAGCCTTGGTCTTAGGAGGGGAGCTTTAATTTGGATTGAGGATACATAATATGAACCCCAGAGAAAAAGCAACTGTCAGTTTTCCACCATGAGATAAGACATCAGTCTTTTAGAAGGAAGCTTCTGGTCCGAACACAAAATTTCCTCTAAGGATAAGAGGTAAAGTGGGTTGCAGCAGATGGTTGGA